ACACCTACTGCAGACGCCGTTGGTGCCCGTGATTTGTTGCAAGACAGGTAGCTATGTAGCAGCGTTCCCAATTTGGTGCATCTAGCTACTGGCATTAATTGACTAATTAGTTAATTAATCTATACCAATATAAAAAGGCCCAAAGGGGCAGATCCAACTGATCTCGACCATCGAACTAAGTCAATCCAACGACCTAGACTGCTCCAATGGCGAGCGTTAAACGTGTTTAACGTGTAATTAATATCATACCAAATATTACACTAATCACATGATTAACACATAATAACATACCTAATATTAACATGCAATTAATATATTGCCTAAAATTAACATGCGTTGCACGTGTGCATTAACATGCAATTACTATAGATCACACAGGCGCGCACTTTTCTTGTGACTGAATTCCCTTGCTAGGCATTGAGTGCACAACGGTAGTGAGTGATGCACAGTGGGCATGGACATGTAGACGCCTCACCAATATAGATTGCAGCTGCCGTGCTCGGCCCAAGCTCCTCTACGCATGGTTTTTTTTGGTTTGAACTAATGATAATCGACGTGGGGTGCTTCTCATTCACACACACAAACATGCATGTAGAAACCGTCAACCGCACATTTTTATGAAGCAAATTATGAACCCCAATTATTTGCCTTCGAGCTCCAGCTATGGCTATGGCTCCACAAAATCAGATGGAGGACTTAACTCAGGCTGTTCCTATCTACATTTATGTACAGTAGGTTTCACTGTGTGTGAGAGAGAGGGGGAGAGCGAGAGGATGGCGTTTTGGCTGTGTGTGTGTTATATCTTTCCTACTTATAAAAATTGAAGTTGGTGGTGAGTTCACATGTGGAATGAACAACCTTCATCGATCAATAAAAATTACACCCTTACCCACATGTAGGACTAACAACCCTCCAAGATACATAAATAAACAAATATATTTTTATATTTTTACTCACATGTGAGACCTAAAACAAATAAACAAGTACACTACTACTTTCATGTGAGACGAACACTTGCAAAATGCACAAATAACAAATGCAAAAATATGACCCCAGCTCAAAATTATGCTCGTAAGAAGTGACATTTTATAGCTTCGTAGCAACGCATGGGCATTGTGCTAGTTTGTGAAATTGTGTATGCAAAACAGAACGCTTATGCTTCCTCAGTGAAAATTACAAAGTTGAGTGCCATAAAAATGTAAAAAAAAATTGCAAACAAACAAACAAAGGACAAGAACATGTATATGTAATGTTTTCGTTTTTTTTCTACGTCCATGAAAGCATTTCTGGCATGCAGAAACATATGTTCCCATGAGTCAAACTGGAAATCCAAAACTTTGCTACGATCGCTTGGTGTGTGTGTGTGTGTGTGTCTCAGTATCTTTCAAGCAGTTAAGATCCTACACTCTGGCGGTCTGGCCGGTGGTTGGCTTATTTAAGCCGGCCGGCCTCTCCTCCTCTACTTCCTGCACGGCATCATCTTCAGCCAGCAAGCACACTAGCCACCTACCCACATATTTCTGTTTTTATGCGTGCTTCGTGCTTGCATAGTGCCAAGTAAGAGATGGACGCCGAGCCTCGGCAGCAGCCGCAGGAGGAGGGGACGGTGAAGGAGCAGGACTCCGGCGATGGCGCCGACGCCGAGCCCGTCCACAACCACCGCGGATGGAAGGCCATGCCGTACGTCATAGGTGATTGCCACCTCAGTTTGTTTCCTCTGCATGCAGATGGCAGATTGCTACCCTCCTCAACGTCTTCTCCGGCACCAGCAACCTCGCCACCGTCCTCGGCGCCTTTGTCAGCGACACGTCGCGGCATTGCCAGCTTCTTCAACTGGTACTACTTCACTTTCACCATAGCCATCATGCTCTCTGCCACCGTCATCATCTACCTCCAGAGCAACGTCAACTGGGCGCTGGGGCTCGCCGTTCCCGCTGTGCTCATGGGCATCTCATGTGTCGTCTTCTTCATGGGCACCCGCCTCTACGTTCGTGTCCGCCCTGAGGGCAGACCCTTGACTAGCTTTGCACACTGCACAGGTCCTCGTCGCCGCCGCCCGCAAGCGCCACCTCCGGCGAGCTCGTAGCGTCGCCGAGCTGTTCGAGCCACCGCACCGGAGCAAGCTTGTCTCCAAGCTGGCCTACACCGACCAGTTCACATGCCTCGACAAGGCGGCCATGCGGACCCCTGAGGACGCGCTCTGCTCTGACGAGAAGACGCCAGTGAACCAATGGAGGTTGTGCACGATACAACAGGTGGAGGAGGTGAAGTGCTTAGCGCGCATCATCCCGGTGTGGTCGTCGGGCATCGTCTACTTCGTGGTGCTCACCCAGCTTGGCACCTACGTCGTGCTCCAAGCAGCACAAACCGATCGCCGGATCAGCAGCGCCAGCAGCTTCGAGATCCCGCAAGGCTCCTTCATCGTCTTCTCCATGCTCTCCCTCACGCTGTGGATACCAGTGTACGACCGGCTGGTGGTGCCGGCGCTCCGCCGCTTCACCCAGCACGAGGGCGGCATCACCCTGCTCCAGCGCATCGGCGTCGGGCTGGCGCTCTCCGTCGCGACGATGCTGGTGTCGGCGGCCGTGGAGCACCGACGACGGCGCCGGACCGCCATGACGTCGTGCTTCTGGCTGGTGCCGCAGCTGCTGCTGGCGGGCTTGTCGGAGGCGTTCGGCGGCATCGGGCAGCTCGAGTTCTTCTACCGGCAGTTCCCGGAGAACATGCGGAGCGTGGCGGGGGCGCTCTACTGCCTCGCGTTCGCCCTCGCGAGCTACGCGAGCGGGGTCATGGTGACGGTGGTGCACGGGCGACGAGGGGGCGGGACGGGGAGCCCGACTGGCTGGCGCAGGACCTGGACCAGGGGAGGGTCGACCTGTTCTACCTTGTCACCGCTGCTATCGCGGCCGTCAACCTCGTATACTTCGTTGTCTGCGCGCGGTGGTACAGGTCCAAGGAGTCCGACGACAACGACGACGACAGCGACGGCTCCCATGCCGGCGATGACGTCGAGCTCGTCGAAGGAAGACCGCAGAAGTCCGCGAGTTCGGCGTCGGTTTAGCTTAGTTATTATAGGCCGTGATGCATGGATTGGTAGATTATGACTGGACATGTATGTATGTATTGTATACGATGATAGTAGAATGATGCACCAGGCATTCAAGAAACTAGATGATACCCCGCATGTTGTTGCAGGAATATTTTACAATATATCTCAATGTGATTCATTGTATGAAACATATATAAAAGGGTAAAACTGAAACTTTATATAATTTATTATGTTTGATCACTATATAGTTGTAAAATATTTACTTAATATAAATAGAATAATAGAATAGAAATTCCCATGTGGAGATAGGTATTTTTTTCATGCATGTTTCATGATGAAGTGGCATGCTTGCATGTTGCGAGACATATGATAGCGAGTGTGGACCTTTTCTCGTGCATGTTGTGCGATGATGTGGCATGCTTGCATGTTGAGAGAAATAGTTAGTGAGGGCTAGCTATTTATGTATAGAAGCTGGCATGCAAAAGCAGAGCATCACAACATAGAGAGGCAGCTCCAACATTAATATTTACCATCGCTTGCATGCGTCAGTGTCACGACCGATCAGCTAGCTGCAAGGGCAGCAGCGCGACTTGGCTGCCGAGTCTTTCGTATATGAATAGTACTCTGTGAGTAGTCATGACGGCCAGGGGATTGCATTTCTGAAAGTACTCTTATCTAATGCGTGATGGGTTACTTGCAACTTATAAGTACCGCAATCCGTAGATGATCACGGGCACAGATGCTCCTTGGTGAACAGTAAAAACAAAAAAAAGTAGTTGGCAAAACTTTAAAAAGAAAATAATTTATACATACAAGATGAACAATTTTTCTAATGGAGTGCAAAACTTCGTGGAGCTTTGACATCACAGGAGCTCGGGACAGAAAAAAGAAACTCATTGCTCCAAATCTATTTTTTTAACCTTTCTCATAACTGATTTTTATTTTTTGTCCAGAACTCCTCCGATGGCCAATTGCCATGAAATTTCGCACGCGCTTAGAAAACATGTTCATCTTTTACGTACCAAAAAAAATCAGATTTTTATACATAAACATGTGGGTGCTCGGTCAGAGCCAAAGGAGGAGAGGGGATTCATCACTAGCTGCTTCAAGAATAAGCCCGTGGGTGCCCTAGATCTGGAGGTGCTGATCCTGCTCTTTTAGCCGTTGTGGTGGTAAAGTGAGTTTAGAGTTACAATCTGCCGACAAAAGTTCAGCTATACATGGATCACAAAAGAAGTGGTGGTAAAGTGAGTTAGCGGGTATTGGTACTAACCTTTAAGAAGAAACAGAATAAATAAAAACTTGCACACAACTTTGCACTTTTTTAGTATATGTACAAGAAATAAATATATAATAGTGCAGTTTTCACATGAATACTATTTATACACATGTTATATAGTACTTGTGTGTATACAATTTACACTCACCCAAAGTCCCAAAAATACACATAAAAACAGAGTAAAAATAGAAAAGAAAAAAACATACAAACACGAAATGGGATTAAGCCCAATAAGGAATCGGTTGACCCACAATAATGGTCAGCCAAAAATTTCAGCCCAAAGCATGACAACACACACAACAGGAAAAAAAACAAGGAGCGTGAATCTTGAGACAGAGATCAATGGTTCAAAAATCGAGTGGCCCAAATACATTTTTCAGCTGGTTGACATATAGCTAAAGTGAGTTTGCTCGGTGACTTGTGTAAATCCGATGATGTGTTTCAATTCTAAAACACGAAAACCTTTGTAAAGGTTGAGTGATGGTACAACTAATAATGTAATTAAACACAACGAGTGCATGTTTAAAACAAACGAGTCCTACTGCATTTCAGAACGTAAATGCATTTGTTCCATAGTAAATACTCCAACTTCCACAGGAAAATGACTGGGCTTTTTTCCGGGTGCGATCAGAGCAGCGTGTGGTCTGTCTCGTTTCAGCAAAGATGCTTGAGTCAAGCTCGACTGAGTGGCGGCCGCGCCGTTGATTGGCGTGTTACCGCCGATGAAGATGTGCAGCTCCCTGTACCACTGACCGGTGGCATGTAGCTTGCAGCCGGCATCCTTGAGGGGAGGGGAGGGAGGGGCGCCTCAAACCGCAACACGTTGAGAGCCTGCCTGATAGACGGTCTCAGCTTCAGATCGAGCTGAGCACACCAAAGCCCGACGATCAGCATGCACTCCATCTCCCGGGCATCGAATTCTCCTCCAATCCGTGTGTCGGCGGCATCCAGGATCTTCCCTCTTCCATACGAGCTCCAGACCCACTGAGCCAGGTGGACCGCATCTTCATCATCATCTTCTTCTTCTTGGTGAACCACCACCACGGGTCGTCTGCCGCAGGCGATCTCCAGGAGGACAACGCCGAAGCTGTAAACATCTGACTCGGCGTTGGCCTTGCCAGTGATCATGCATTCTGGATCCATGTATCCCATTGTGCCGGCGTGCACCATAATGAAGCAATGTGATACTCCCTTCTTTTTTATTTACTCCATGTATTAGCTTTGGTCAAAGTCAAGTTTTATAAACTTTGACAAAATTTATAGACAATAATATTAACATATACAATAACAAATTACTACCATTAGATTCATTATTGAATGTACTTTCACATCATATAGATTTGTTACGGTAAATATTTATATTGTTTACTATAAACTTGGTCAAACTTTATGAAGTTTGATTTCAGTTAACTCTAATATGCAGAGTAAATAAAAATGGAGTGAGTAGTAATATGCAGAGTGAGGTGCTTCTTCTCTGGTGGGCGTACCTAACCGACCATGGAAGAATGGCATTATTGGCAGCGCAGAGATGCCTGTCGAGGCTGCCGTTGGGCATCAACTCGTAGACGAGGAGCAACTCACGGCCTCCATGGCACCAGCCGATAAGCTGCACAAGGTTCTTGTGGCGAAGCCGGCTTATGACCCTCACCTCAGAGGCATACTCCTTCCTCCCTTGCTTCGAGCCCTTGGAGACTCTTTTGATGGCCACGTGAAGGTCCAGTTCCTTGAGGAATCCTTTGTACACCGAGCCGAAGCCCCCTTGCCCGAGCTTCTTATCGTCGGAAAAGTTGTCGGTGGCCATGGCCAAGTCGCTGTAGCAAAACCACTTGGGCGCGGTTCCTTTCTCGAAGTCTTCTTCCATGCTCTGATTGTCATCAAAGAAGCCGGCCTCTGATAGCCCTTGCTCCGTTGCTCGGTGATGGTTTTTCGCCCGGTTTCGCCGTAGGAGGAAACAGATCAAAGTGACGAAAACGAGCAAAAACCTACAGAGATGCCGACCAGAAGCCCGGTTCTGTTCCGAGGAGGCGAAGATTCTGTGAAAGAATTCCAAGCAGAATGACACTGGATTAGCATGCGTCTCGCTGGTTCAATTCAAACATGCGCAACATGTGACTAGACTAACACGGAGGTGAACACTAACCTCCGTGAGGCAACAACGTCTTTGTTAAGTTTTGGTGCCCGCACCCGTAGTTTTCACCGTACTCAACTTTGAGCATGTCGCAGTACATCTTGTAGTAGCGGGCCCGGTCCTTGGCCGGCGGGGTCGCGTAGCCCTTGCCGCACTCCGCCGAGCCGTTGAAGATGTTGGTGGTCATGCCGTAGCCCGGGAGCATCCCCGCGTCGACATCTTGGGCAGAAGGCGTCCAGCCATTGGTCATCACGGCGTGACACGATGGTTTGGGCGCCTGAGGCGTCATCCACCACCAGATTGCCGTCTTGAACGCCACGACGGGGTTCGTGGACATCAGGTCCGGGTTGTCTAGGAGGTCCAGCCCCAACGCCTCCCCGGCTTGTCGGTAGTTGAAGTCGCTGTGACAATGAACTATATAATTGCTATGATTGCTAAATCTCAGTCGACTGAGAGTCAATTATGTTCGTGATATCTTACGTGAAAATCCATGCAAATTTTCTTTTCTAATTTGTCTATCTTCTTTTTATATTTGTGTTACTTGACTGAGACTTGTTTATGTCTCAGTCAACTGAGATCTAGCCACACCTATTTACTAATATGAAACTCACACTAGATTCATGTCCAGAAAAGAATAGAGAAACGATATGATGTACACTTCCTGTCATACTATTAAAATATATATATATATATATATATATATATATATATATATATATATATATATATATAAAAGCGGGGCAAAAGCCTGTTTCATGTTTCTTACTAGGTCAGCTGTACTGGGCCTCGTCCGTAGTAGCGCATGATCACTGGATTTTGCTCTTTCACAAAGCAGTAACTTGAGGTCATAGCCTGATAGCATGTTACACCCCTCGATCCATATTAATTGTTGTTGAGTTAGTCCAATTTTAGTACAAAGTTGTACTAACTCAAAGACAATTGAAATAAATCGGAGGGAATAGTGAAAGCATAAGCGTCATCTCGCATCATACCAACGGTTTCGTGGGAGGTCTGCCCGAAGAAGGCGGCGAGCTCCCGTCTGCGGGTCTTGTCGTCCCCGGTGGTGCCGAAGGCTCACGGCCTTGACGAACGCGTCGTAGGTGTAGAACGCGCCACCCTCGCAGCTGCCTTTGCTGCGGTTGCTCAGCATGGCGTCGAACTTCTCCTGGGTGATGATCGACGGCACGCCGGCACCCGCGAGCAGCGCCGCGCAGCCGGCGAAAGCGAGGAGCCCGAAGACCCTCATGTTCGCGCGTGAGGCCTGAGCCGAGCGAGAACAGTGTGGTTTTATCACAATCGCAAGGCTGTGAAGCTTTTGCTTTTGTGTTTGGAGGAAAGCAAGGTTGTGGTCAGGAACTCTCATCTTTTACGGCCTGGAGCCTGCACGCCCGTGGAATCGTGGTCCATACGCTGCGAACACCTGCACCGGTTGATACGGCGTACAGGAATGTTTTGTGGCTAGTCTTGGGCAGAAGACTTAGACTAGGCCATTGTTTGGCCACCTACGAGGCATCGACAGCGCATTGCATCGAGTACCATCAGCTCGTAGTTACTACCCCCATCCTATAATATAAAAGCGTGTTCGACATTAATGTATATATGCTAGTGTAGAAAACGCTTTTTACAATATAGGACGGAAGGAGTCGTTTGGCGTCATTGGTAGTATTTTCCTTTGCATAGCCCCACAACTTCTGATTCAAACTCTCTCTTCCTCCTCACTGGGGACACCGACCTTGACGTGGACCAAATACCGCACAGTACCATAGATCACCGTCATGTTGTTCTCGCCGTTGTCGTTGTTGCTGCAAGCATCGCTACACAAATCCACTTGTCCGGCACCAATTGGTTGTAGCCGTGTGCATCCCCATCGGTGCAGAGTCATATTACCTCCGTCTCAAATTATTTGTCTTAAATTTATCTAAATCATGTATCTAATATTAAAACATGTTTAGATACAAGCAAGTAATTCGAGATGGGGAGTATTATTAAGCCCCTCATATTGCACCCTCTGTGTGTGATGAAGGAATCGCTTACTTTATAAATTACGTGTGATGGTTTGTGGGTCGCCCACTAGAGAACAAACGTGTGTGATATCATGCGGACGGGTTGCATGGACGATTGTGTTTGTGTGTTGTACAACTGCACATGGTATGAGAGGCTAACTGTCTGCGATACTCAGGCGGTTAAACACACTAGCCGAATGCCTGTGCGTTGCCACGGAACAATAAACTTAGACATGAAACATTGCTAAAAATAAATCAAATATAATTTCATAACTATATGTTTGAGCGGTGATACGCGCCGACGCGCTGACCCGAATTTGGGCCAGTCGGCCTCCAGCCGTCCGATCCAGCAGGCAGGAGCCATTCGTTCCGCCTTCCCGCACGTCATCGTCTTCTTCCCCCTCTCCCCCATGTACGCGTCTTGGTTTAGATCCACCGGTGACATGTCCCTGCCCCAACCACCGCGAGTTGTGCTCCGGCGAGACACAAAAGCACCCGTGTCCTTTCCCTCACAGTTACTGCTCGTCACAGCACCGAGCTGCTCGTCGTCGCAACCTCTCTTGGATCGCCGATGTCACATTTTTCTGCTCCGGCGATGGTAGCAAAAGAAATCGTTGGTTCCAGCTTTCCCGAACAACGTTTCCAGCTTTTCTGGTCGTAGCATCGGCGGCGACAACTTCAGCATTGCCGCTTGCAGCATATACGGCCACGAGTCGTAGCCTTTTCTGTTGCCGGTTGTAGCATTTTCTCCCGTGGGATGCATCTTCCTTGGTCGCCAGTAGCAGTCGTCTACCTCACAGGCCAAAAAAAATCACCGTCGCTGATGCAACAAAAATTGGCTGCTGGTTGTAGCTTTTTCTAGGGCGGTTGCATCTCTAGCGCCTGAGGTTGCAGCTTCCACAGGCCACGACCCCTCGTTGCAGCCCCGATGCTGACCTTTGCTGTCCGCATCTTCACTCCGCCGCTTGCAGCAAAATGGTCAATGAGTTGTAGATTTTTCTTTTGCCAGTTGAGATTTTTGTTCCGCGGGATGCATCTTCATGGTGGCATGTAGCAAACAAGGACGCCGGTTGTAGCAATTTGTAATGCCGGTTGTAGCTCGCAGCTCCGATGATGTCCTCGCCCATCCCATTCCCATGTCAGGTGCACCCCGTCGTCGCAGCTTCTCATGCCTTGGGTGTACCTCGCCATCACAGTTATGCATCTGGAGATGGTGAGCTGGGAGAATCGCTGGCCGTGCGGAGAGGAACTGGAGATGGTGAGCTGGGAGAATCGTCGGCCATGCATAGGATGACGACCTCACCGGTGAGATTGGGCTGCAGCTAGGCAGGGGCCGATGCGGGGCGGACGACGGCCTCGCCGGCGAAATTGGGCTGCAACGGGAGGGGGGGGGAGGATGCAGGGGTAGAGAGTGGCCTCGCATATGCGATGGGCCTACAGCGGGGCAGGGCGATTTGCGGGGCTTGCAGAAATAGGATCGCGTGGTAGCGGGCGACCGGCCAAAGCTTCGGCCGGCGTGCCATCTCCAAACATTTTCCTATATGTTTTGAGAACAGAGTTGTAGATGCCATACATATATTTCTTGCAATCAGTTCAAAACAAATCGAACATATTTCTCTTCCATGTAGTTCTTTGGTAAGTCAATTAATTGCATGCTAGAGTATTAGAAAGTAGTAGTAGTTGGCTAAGGAGTAAAATGTAGAACCGACACACTTATGATAAACATGCTCATAGTTTCCTGTCGGTCGAGTGTTGCTCCTCTGGCTATTGAACATCCGATCTTGTTGCCAACCTGTTGTATGAGCCAAATCAATTGCAAAAGCTAGTTTCTTAGTGTCTGAATTCAGGACAAACTGCAATTCGTACTTCAGCTGGTGTAGTAGCAGTACACACCTACCTTCTGTGGTACTTCAGTTGTCTTTCACTCCAAGGATGTTGAGAATCATACAAAATATGGTTCTGGTTTATATATATTAGCAAGGCCACAAAAGACACCTCACTTGAGAGTACCACAAAATTCCAACACAATTGTTCTGGGCAGGCTCTCTACATGGTGAATTAATACTTTTCCGTGTGCACTATGCAATAAATTAAAATTGCACAAGAGTTTTTTGCCAATGGTATAAGAGTTTTAGTAGTATCCTCCTAAAACTAATTTTGGTACTATAATGTTTGTTACTAATGGGAAGTTAAGAAGATATGATATGTTATAATAATCTATGCAAGCAGGTCGCCTATACAACTAAATGTCATTAAAAGCAATACACTGGCCTAGTTTCCTTCATTGTAAAATATAGGGTGCCCAAGGCTTCATAGATAAGAACATAGTAATGCAAAACAAAGAGAAAGAAAAAAACCCGGTTAACTTGTTGATATCAAATTTCTCCAAGAGCCTTTGAGATGCTCCTGGGAGGCGCAGTGTAATGGCTTTACAAAAAAGTAATGCATATTATCTGAATTTTTCTGGGTTTATATCATTGCATGATGTGATAAAAATGTTCAGGTAACAGGAACTTTAGTATACACTCAAAGGAATAAACAAGATTAATCGTCTATTTCTACGTGGAGCTGAATACAGTTCACAACCACAGAAAATTATACAGACATAAAATAGACTACGACCACAACCACACAAACGAAAACAGTCAATATTTTTGTCCTTACGTCGATACCTCAACAGCAAAATTTCTATTTCATTGCCAAGCACAACCTACAGATCGAATCACATTA